AGTGGAAGGGACAGGTTTCAAATAACAAGTTAAGCAGACGGGTATGAGGCCATGTCCGGAACAGACCCATTATAAGCCTGGTAAATTCGACCGCCCTGAGACCGATAAGTGTACGAAAACTGTTGTGCTGGCATACTATTGATAGAAAATAAATCTGAAAATTTTGGAAGGCAGTTCTGTTTGGCGTTTTGCCATCGGCACGGCGCGGTCAATCAGGTTACTGCTTGAGCAGCAGAAACAGAGTACCTAAGACTAATTCAAAGCAAACGGACATTTTTTTTAGAAATGTAATGTTTTCCTACAGCGTAAAAGACTACAGCGCTAAACAATACAAGAAGGCGAAAAACAATGAAGTAGATGGAAGTTTGGAAAATAGTTTCTAGTGCTGGTTTATGACTGAAAAGAAAATCGAAATGGATGAGGTACTGTAGTTATTTATAGCTGTGTACACAGCAACTCCCAAAATTCGTTTACTGACAGTTAAGCTTCAATAGAGACCGTTACGCTACCCGTGGATGCATCAGACGATATCTTCCCGGATTCGGAAATACTACGCACCTGAGTGTTAAGCAATTGCTTAAAGGGGCCCATGAAGATCAATTTCTGAGGAATTGTGAGGGAAGAGCATCTGAAAACCACATTCCGACTGTCTTGATTACCCTTGTCTTATTTGCGACAGATGTGGCGTATTGCAGAGACAAGGGCTTGAACACCTAAATGGCTAAATGGTGACCGACCTCACCGGTGCAAGCAGTGGTAGCGGGACGAGTGTATACGCCAGTCCGAGGGAAGGCTTTGGAATACTGCACCGTCAACCTGAAGGGCAAATCCAATGGCTTCCAATCCAGTTGTGTGCATTACGATAACACGCCGTATTGGTATTTATAAGGGTCAGTCGGTTGAATAAATCAGAAAAATTCTACCAGAAGATGGACGCCCTTCTTTCTATAGCCAAAAATTATTTCGCCACCAGACGCCCTGGACTACCGCTGGGCTAGATCCACGAAAACAGTAAAGTTGTCGTCTCGTTGCAGAAGCCTGTCGAACAGAATTTGGAAAAATGCTCACCCAGCTCCCTAACCTACAGCGCAACTGTTCAAACCAAACGTTTGTGAGTACAAGGGAAAATGCCAAATCCCTTACTTGTTCCATGGTAGGACACAAAGACCGCAGCATTTATTCAAATCATCCAGGTTTTTCTCGGCATCTTTCATGTCCTCGTTGATTTGGTCCATGCCCTCATTTATACGATCGAGTTGTTCTACAAGAAGAAAAATGTTTAGCCATCGGATCGGACGTATCACGTATGGGAAACAACACACGATCTTTTACGACGGTATCACAACAGTTTTGGGGATGCGTAGATGCAACCTTACCGCCTTGATCATCAAGCATAACAAGGGTGGAAATTCCAGCTTCCTTTGCCTTTACAGAGAAGAGCATTTGAGTTAAACTGCTATGACTCTTATACAGATTCTCGTAAACAATAGCTGGATTCGTGAGTGGCAAACATTTTAAACCGGAGTTTGATTTTTTTGATGCAACATTGCCGCACAATAAAACCGGATAAAATCATTGATAAGCATGAGAATCACATTTCAAAACTTTGGAGCTATTAGTACTAATGGTCACTTTGAGTAACTGTCTGCAACGAAATTTCAAGGGGCAAAAATGGCTTATTTTCATATCTTCAGGCTTATCGTTTAAAATTTGCCAGAAAGATGCGGAAATAAAGACACAACTTTAACTTGCTACTAATTATATCGCTTGCAAAGACAGGTATGATATAAGTCTGCAATGTGCAGACTTGCATTTCAGCAACGACTACCAAGTATGCTTGAGTTCACTAAGTGATATTTTTAATAGGAAATTAGTTTTTCCAAGTAGGATTCAGTGCACGAAACAGTTTTAGTCGTTAACAGTGGAACGACGGAATGAACAAAACAAATCATGGTCTAAAAACTGTTTGACGACTTAAAGTCGTTTCGGATTTTTAGGACTAGACAGCCTGTTAATCCGGTTGCTTCTTCCCTCAACGACAAACTACATACGATAACAGTTCTAACAGTAGAATGCGTATTTAACCTAGCTTTTGAGCCTAAGAGTTTTTGCATCTTTTAGCTGAAATCAGGATTGTAGGCACTCCAGCCTGCAAATGATACTATAACGGCAAACATAAGGCTATGTGGGTATTTTTCAATGCGCCTCGTATGGACTCGGTTTCAGTGAAAATACAAAATTGTTTTCGAAGATAATAAATAATCTAACGGCCTGCACACATTCGGCGAACAAATTACTAACTCGGACTGGGAAAGGCGTTTTCTCTATTTTCATACTGGCCGAGAGGTTGATGCAGAACAGTTATTTTATGGGACTTCCTGGGGTTTTCGGTTGTCCCCTTTGCAAATTTCCGTTTTAAACAGGGCTAGAGTCAAAGTCGTCTGGGAACTATGCCACCGTGCGTTACCGTACGGGCGATGGCGCCGATGTGGACGCCTAATGCGGATGATTTTGGGGGCAAGATGACTTTGCCACGTACTCTACGGCTCGCCTTGCTAGCGAACAAGCAGCTAAACTTCGCCCGATCGTTTGTCGACGAACTCGTTCAGCCGGCGAGTCTTCGAAGCTCAGACAACGTAAGCAGTGAAAGCTGTCAGTGTGTAAGTTTTAAGAGCAAGCAACAGTCCCAAATAGTGTGCCGCAATGGCCAATGACAGTTCTAAATACCGCGAGATGCAAAGTAAAGGTCATAAGAATTACTTACTTACTTATGGAATCTTGTACACTTTTTAAACCTTAACATGGACTCTTTCGAATTATTTGAATGGGTTCGTTTCGACGTAACGTAACGTTTTAAAGTACCAATTGCCCTGGAGACTGAAATGCTGCGTAACTACCTGTCAATCTGATTCTTTAGAAATAAAAACCATCCCTTTAAAAAAAGGCTTTGTGGGCAGAATGAATACCTTAATGCGGATTTTAAAGTCTGTCGTTATACCGACATAAACGCACTTTCTAATTTGGTATATGGCAGTAAAAAATAACAAGTACACTAGATAAATGTATCATCTGTGTTTATATTTGTACCCCGAAGAAAGCAAGTTGCTGTGAAAGCAGAACTTTCGAAACCAACTATGATGTGGATAGACTATCCAGGAAGCACGAGGACAGCCCTCAAATAAGTAAAGCTGTACGTATGTTTATAAATTGAAGACTAAATTGGTTTTAACGAGGCTTTTTTACGCACAGAAATTGACACGAGAACAGGAAACGGCTAAAATAACTAGTTAGTGGACATAAAAGTCTACTATTAGTGGTCCTCCTGAGGTGGCCTAGATGCTCTTGAAAACTAAGGAGAGCATGGACATTCGAGGATAAACGGAACCTGTAATTCTACAGCACAAAGACCAGGAGCCTCTTATGCTAAAATTTTACTTGAAAGATAAAGTGGAGATGAAAACGAGACTTACTTCCTCACACATCGCCATCATACGACGGGTCGATTCAAGAGACTGAAAGAAAATTTTGAAAATTTTGAGTTTAAGATTTATTAATAGCAAAGTTCTCTGCCCAAAGCGGACATCCTACTTAATTGCATTCGAATGTTAAACCAGAGCCCAGTAAAATATGAAAAGGACTTGCTGCAGCGAGTTTAACTCGCCGTTACAGTCCGATGATAAATTTTAAAGGTACGCAAGGTTTACTAGTTGATTCAATGAGCCGTATGGAAACTATGGAAATAACCAAGGACAAAAGCGGAAAGTGGAACGGTTAAAATTGCAAACGGTAGGTTTGAATTAACTTGGTCTTTGAAAACGGATCAAAATCATATATGCAAAACAAAGAACGTCGGCTTTAGAAGCAGGACTATGTAGAGGATAGGTTAAGGAGAATAAGGCTGTGTTAAATTGAATAACAAACACTATTACATTGTGTTGGGAAAAATTGGCTGTCCGGAAAGCCGGCCGTTGGCTGTGACTACCGAGAGCATGGGTTTATATGAAGTACAGTAAAATGTGATAACAATCTAAGGCCGATAAGGTCCGAAATACGCGAAAACACCTTTAAGGCAGAAAACGCATGAAAATGAAGCATCAAACCTCAACGGTAACATCATCAATTCTACGCATTAATAATTCCGTCTCTGTCATAAGCCGGATGGTGCCATCCTCCATGCGGACCTCGTCCGGACCACAAGGTGGTGGAACCCTGGACGTACTTTTCCCTGTCATAGATAATTATCGTTGTAGGATTCCGGACGGAAATTTGATGCTTGCTGACATTTCCAGTTGTGGACTGACGGATCAATATAACTCCATGCCCTTTATGATGATATTTAAGGCAACATGTGGAGTAAGTCGTATCTTCGAGTAAATTTATATACCGCTCTCAAGAGGGGTCTTTTATGGTATAGTGCCTAA